GCACAACTACATATTATAGCAGTCCTATATACAAAGTTTTAACGTTCTGAGATTACTCATTTTTGAGTTATGCGAGACACATACATACAGTGGTGGCCAAAATTGTGGACACTTTTGGAAATTTTTATGTTTTTGAACTTTGTATGCTTATAGAAAATGTTACGTTTCGCAAAATGCAAACTTGTATATATCCTTTTAAAGAGAATTTATTACTGAATTCAATACAAAACACAAAATTCAATTATTTGCAATACAAAAAAAGTTATATGTACTTTATTATAAATAAAAAAACACATTTATGAAGTGGTTTGTAATGTCTAGCTTTCCTGGCCAATCACTGTTCTTGTTCTGAGAAACCAATCGAATGTTAGTAACTGCCAGTAGAAGCTGGACATCATGTTTACACTTGAAACAATTCTTTATTTTGTTTTGTTCTGTAGAAGGAGGACCTCTGTTTCTTATACACTGCAATTACAAGTAGGAATTTTTGAAAAAATTTTTAATATTTAGTCAAGAAGCAAATGACATCAAATAAAAGAGTAGATTGGACACCTAGAAGGAGATATAATATTATTGTGTTATCGAGAAAGTAGTCTTTCCTATGCTGAAATTGCAAGACAGGTGGGTGGTTCAGTGACTACATCTGGAAGTCCGAAAGTTTTGTTTACGATAATCAGGAGACAAATTTCAATAAAAAAAATAAAGAAGGAAAAGGCCGGAAAAGGTGCACCACATCTATTGATGGCAGAAGAATAAAAAGACTATGTCTCCAAGATAGAAAAATGTCATCAGCGGCCATCAGAAGTGATCTGAATGATGCTGGTGTTTCTGTCAGTTCAAGAACAATCAGGAGAAGATTAACAGATGTTGGACTAAGAGGTAGAATTCAACGAAAAAAGCCTTATCTTAATTTCCAGCAACGAAAAAAAAAAAGACTACAGTGAGCAAAGCAACACATTAATTGGACAGATGCACAAGTTATATGGAGTCATCAAACTAAGATATCGTTATTCGGTAGTGATGGGCGAAAATATGTAAGACGTAGAATAGGAAAAGAGCTACATCCTGACTGCATTCAAGCAACTGTGACGAACCCAGTTAGTGTTATAATTTGGTCATGCATGTCAGCAGATGGTATTGGTCGCCTTCGTGTCATCGATGGGACTCTGAATGCCAGAAAATACATTGACACTATTCTAGAACCAAAACTTCTACCTTCCATCAGAGATCTCTTTTCCAACAATGCTTCGTTTATTTTTCAGCAGGATTCTGCTCCTTGCCACACGGCCAAAATATCGAAAGAGTGGTTTCGTACAAAGAGCATTAATTGTTGTCATGACCAGGAAACAGACCTGACCTCAATCCTATCGAAGATTTGTGGCACCGTTTGAAAACTCTTGTCCGAATGAGGCGCCCATCAAATAAAAGGGAACTAATTGAGGCTATAATTGTTTCCTGGCATCACGTAATAACGAAAGAAGAGCTTAAAACTCTTGTCAGCTCAATGAAACGTCGATGTGAAGCTGTAATCAAAAATAAAGGGTACCCTACTAAGTACTGATAACTCACTGCAATCATCACTATCCAATGTATATCGATAACTATTATCGTTTAACTTTTTTTTGTATTGCAAATAATTGAATTTTGTGTTTTGTATTGAATTCAGAAATAAATTCTTTTAAAAATGATATATACAAGTTTGCATTATGTGAAACATAACGTTTTCTATAAGCATACAAAGTTCAAAAACATAAAAATTTCCAAAAGTGTCCACAATTTTGGCCACCACTGTATATAGGTACGTACGTACAGACGCTACGAAACAATCTCTTTTGAATCCATTTTAAATCAGTTTTATAATTGGTTTGTGGAAAAAGAGTCCTTTATTCTGTCCTTACACACAGATATCACGCAAAAACATTCTTGAATTGCATTCGGTAGCGGTCAAAATGGAAATTTTTCTTGAAATATGATACCCAGAATTTTTCATGATTACAATACTTCCTTTAGTTCGTATAAGGAAGTAAAAAAATTAAGCTTAGATACACCTAATTAACTTTTAAATTGTTAGTAATTCTACAAATATTGCATGCAGGTTAACTAAACACATAAAAATCTTAACCGGAAGATAAGACCAACATAATTCACTCATTTTTAAAACAAAAAATGCACAATTTACAAATATATAAGAATAAATAAAATGAGCTCACTGAGATGAATAACAGAGTGGGTATATATATATTCGCACTGAATGAATTTAAGATCATACAACATATATATATATATACATATATATATATATATATATATATATATATATATAATATATCAAGCAAGGTAGTTATTACAATACTGAATGACCAATTTGGTCTAGAACATCTTGCGCAATATGCTGCAAAATAAGTAAATTAGAAATTGTAGTAAGCTCGCCTAAAAGTTACCAGGAGCTGTTGCTCCAAAAAGTTTCAACACGTTTAAAAAAAAATTAATACATATGAAAATCAAACCATTTAACAGGTAAAACATTAAAAAAAAAATCAGATAAAAAAGTAAGCGGAAAATGGTAAATTAGCTTAACTCGACTTCCAAACTGGCTTTTCAAGGGAAATTTTTTTGATTTGAACGTCGAATCAAGCTAACCCCACTACGCGTTTCGCCGAAACAGACAATTGAAACTTTTTCGCTACAAAATTTTTTAATTTAGACAAAGTGTCTTGGAAAATTTTAATAGTCTCAATTCTTTGTTCCAATTTCCCGACGCGTCCGCACAAAAGGACACATTAAGGTGTTAAAATATGTAAAAACTATTCCGACACATCTAAAATCTAGACTAAAATAAAAATCAAAATAAAAACAAAAATAAACAGCGGTCTGCTATTAGTCCTAAATATACAAAAACATACGGGCTGGGCCTGCAAGCTTAAAGATTTATAATTTTATACCTTTGTTGCGTCGATTGCAACCAAAAAGGAGGTTCACAACTACATGTTATATCAGTCACATATACAAAATTTCAACGTTTTGAGACTACTCGTTTTTAAGTTATGCTAGTTACAAACATACATACGTACGTACGACGACACGGAAAAGTCTCTTCTGAAAATCAGTTTTATAATTCGTTTGTCGAAAAAGAGTCCTTTTCGCGCAGATATCACGGAAAAACATCGTTAAATTGCATTCCATAGCAGTCAAAATGGATATTTTCGTTGAAAAATGATACCCGGAATTTTCCGTGATTATAATACTTCCTTTACTTCGTACAAGGAAGTAAAAATTTTTTAGTTTAAACAGTTTTAAAAACAGTTTAAATGAAAATTAAATTAAAATGTTTAGACAAATGTACAACTGAAATGTCAATGAGACAATGCCGATGCTTCAGGATGAATTAGCTTATCTCAATCTCTCCCGAATATCTCATTGTATTTCGTCCGTGCGGTGCATACGGAATCTTAAAAAATGTTTTACAAATTTTTATACCTCTTAATACAACAATTTGACAAAATTAGCAAACGCATATGCATGTACAAGAATTCTCCTACACGATGTCAATATTTTAATACAATAAATTGAAATGTAAAATGTGCAAAAAAATTACGCAAGTAACCAATAAATTCAAGATATCTAAACATGTAAATAAAATGTTTACACAAAGAAAAATATTCTATATTGCAAAATATCACAATAATATTCAATTTAATGAATTATTGCCTAAGCAATTTAGTGTCTTTGGTAAATTAATAAAATAGACTAGAAAAAGTTTTAAAATGAATTCTCGGTTACTAATAGCAGTTTTAATAGCAGCAAGTTATTGAATTAAAAATATCAAAATACGCATTGTGTACACTATCCCTAAGCCCTTTCTTTCTTTGCTTAAGAAATACACTTAAACAAGGTAGGTACTTTTTTGTATCGATTATGATTTGTCTTACAAATTAGCATAAACGTAAGTAGCGCGTTTCGATCTAAAATTGGCATAGGGTATTAGTTATACGTAATTCTACAGTAAGGCTCTACAAATTCATAACTAAAATTGCACTTCTTGCAAACACTTTTAAAATATGTAATCAGCTATTCATACAAAGTATTAAAAATTATTTAAAAATAAATCGATTTTAATATTTGCATTAAAACTTTTAAGACTTGCTGAAATGAGTTATTCTCGAGACAATTTATAATAATGAAATCGAAAACTAAAATTGATTTTTCGATCCTTGGAACAATACTATCCTAATCAAAAGTTAGAGCAAAACAGTAATATATCTAGACAAATATATATCTGTCTAAATATCTATATCCATCTCTCTGTCTATCTATGTATCTATATATACAAAAATGTGCTTTTTTAAGAAGTATTCGATCATGTAAGCTTCCTTCATCCAGAACCAGTATGCAATTAAAAAATTATATAAGCACAGAAATAAAATCAGTAAAAAAATGCAAACGCGCGAATAAAACGTGAAAACAACGATTCAATGAAAAAATTTTAAGTGCAAAACAGAATGAAATATTTAATATGAAATTGCAAAAGCTGGAATGCTGATATAAATACGAATAGCACAAAAATATTTCATCTTGTCTTGTGTTTTACATTTAAAATTTTATCATTTTTGTCTTGTTTTAATTTTTATTAGCATTTTTACATATTTTTGTTGTTATCATTGTCATGTTCGTACATTTTTTCAACTGTCAGACTGGCTCTAGATGAAGAAAACTCAAATTATTAAATACATCCTCTTCATTAAAAATAAATTAAATTATTTATTAACTTATTTATATTATTGCACCATCATGCAATAGTTAAGTATTGTATTTAGTTTATGTTTTAATTTTCGTTTCAGTTTATATGTACATCTATTTATACATATTTTAAATTTCGTTTTATGAACGAACGGATTTGTTTACTCTTTCATAATCGAAAAAATTGGCATATAGGCACTAAAGTAAAGAAAGTCAATGTAATGGAGAGTTCTATTCTAATAGTAATCGGAAATTTCATTTACCAAAGACTGACGCTTGTAACGTGTTTTCTTTTTTCGTTTTTTTCTCTTTCTTTCAGCGATGAGCCTCTCCTCTTCCGGAAGGAGAGGGGTGCATCCGTAGGGGCTGACTACGAAGTGACGACCGCCGCAGTTGCATCCAAGGAGACGACACCGTCGTCCTTGCAAGAAAGGTGGGACGAATAATCCTGAAGATACGTGGAGGATCTGCAACGTAGGGTGGAGGGTGTTTGTAGGATAAGCTGTCACCGAGAACCACATTGCGTGACACTTTACCACAAATGAGCCCCTTCCTCACTCTTTTATTGTTCTCTCTATTAGGAATATCCTATTATGCGATGAAATTCCTTGTTGAAGTTAAGAAATAGACAAAGAAGACTATTCTTTGAGATATATTTAGCAGCCTTTAGGCTATACAGGAGTCTTTCTCGCGGTACGTCTTAGAATATATAATGTCTTAAACTAGTTTTTTTCCTTAAAATTTCAGTCAATAAACTAAAGATTCGGTCATAAGTGAAGAATTTGTTTTAGAGTTATTATTATATTTTCTTCATCGTCTGCGGTAAATGTTTCAGAGCAGCAATTTTCTTTATCATCAAAACCCTAATTTTTACCCTTACAATTAACAGAATTCTAATTATAGAAATTATTTTAGACTAGCCGTTTCTTTACCAATTTTAAGCCGCACCTCACAGCATATTCCAAGCTACTTGTATTTCAAATCACTAACAACAGTTTCCTAGAATTAACAGTAATTTTAACGTCTTTACCACCTATTAGTTCACAATCATTGGTGCAACCCAATACTTTCGGCGACTTATTTCAGAACACCTGGAATTTTCATAGTAAATTTAATTATTTTAGAAGATAACTAATTATAATTATTTGCAATTAGTTTGATGCTTCTCTTAGTTTTCAGAAGTGCTCTCTATTCTGAATAGTTTAGATGTTTGAAACTTGTACATTAACGTATTAGTCATCGTAATATTCATTTCGAAGATTAATTTATACGATGTTTAAAAGGTTACCTGACACATGCGTATTTAATAGTCTTAACTAATAAAAATTTTCTCCAGTGATTCATTCTTTCATAGTAATTTATTTTTAAAACTCAGCTGAGACTGACTGAAAAGAACTTTCATCGAAGATTTCTGATACATTTCTAGCACACAAATTCATAATCAAACATATATATTCAGTTGCAATATTTGCATATGAAGCATAAAGTTAAACATTAAGAACAACACTTTTCAAGGAAGATGACTAGCATACATCAACAATAAATTTCATACCTTTTAATTCCAGGAAACTATGAGGTAAAACCTTTACCCTGTATTCAGCACGTTCCGAATAGATTTAATTTCATGAAAAACCTAAGAGGTATAAAATATTCGTTTTGTTGACTTTAAAGATTAAACTTCATCGCAACTGACCCTAAGAAGGAGATATGCACAATCCATCAGTACACCAGAGTTTTATCCAAGAAATTTTCAAACAACTATATGCAATAAACAACAGACCACTCTTCACAATAAAATAATTGAATAAATCTAAGTATAACATTCGGCTCAATTCTTAATTAAAATTATTCAGTAAAAGAATTCGTTGTTAACACCAAACGGAAATTGATATAGTGATGTTCTCTGATTACGTTAAATGTTCAAATGTACGCCATCCAACTATATACACTATGATTTGGTATCTGCAGATTTTAATCCTCATTTTATAGTTTTACCAGGTATCACATCGCACAGCAATAAGTAATTCGACATATTTTGCTTCCGTGTTGTCTTCAGCTGGCTATTCAGACACATACTGACATTAAGAACAAAGCTTGGTGTGGAGATGCAGTCTGGTGGTAAGGACGCAGTGGTCAAATAGAATACAAAAAGTTGCGTGTTTTGAGGGAAAAGTGTATACATAAAAGGTTTTGGGTTCTTCCCAGGTGAAAAAGCATTGAGAATTAAAAATGAGTCCAGTAGGGTTGCAAAGATAATGAGATAGCAATTTTCGTCGCCAAACTCGCTGAAGCGATGACGAGAAGAAAAAAGGGAAAATGAAACTATTTTCTTTCCTAACATTTTGCAATCTTAATGAAATCTAGGCCGTTTTTTCTTAATTATTATTTTTCAGCTATGATTAAAATTATACAAATGCTCATTATTGTTAACATAAATTTGGATGATATCAAAATTACGATAATCTTTATTGATTTAATAATTTGAATAATAATCTTTATTAATTTAATAATTTGAATAATAATCTTTATTGATTTAATAATTTATCGATTAAACACAATAGTCTTTATTGATTTAATAGTCTTTATTAATAATAATTAATTTGATAATTATCAATTCAGATTGATAACTGATTATCATTAATTGATAATCTTTACTGATTGCTGGGTGCACTCATGCGTTTTATGCACAGAAAAGAAAATCAAAAAGAAGACATTACTACTAGGAAGACTTCGTTTCAAATTCAGGAATCTGTTAGCAGTCAAAAGAAATCTCGAATAAAGTACATCTGATATGCTGAGCTGCAACTTAATTCAAAAGGGCATATCAGGCTTTAATATAAAATTCATGATTTTAAATAAAAGTACTAATCATTCAATATTATGTATCACAGACATTATTTTCCAGCTAATTTAATTTTATGGCAGATCCAAAATGTTAATGATAAATGTACTAAAGTTTATTTATTTAAGTACGGCTAAGCACACAAGAGCTATCCGCTGAAGGAAAGAGGGAATTATTGTGGAGAATTTTCTAAGGATACTTCGCTCCCATTTGAATTATACAAAGACTGCGAAATCATTGAAGATCCCCGTCCATTCTTTGGATTTGAATCCAGTTAAAATTACCACGTTCGATTGTCTTAACGACTTTGCCACTGGTGGGATAGATATTGACATAAAAATGGGGTAATACTGCAGTGACTGTTCCTAAAATATTTGAAGCCATACATAGCTATAGTCGAAATTCAATTATCTAGACTTCAAGCATCCGGATTTCTTGTTCTTATTTCTCGACTTGCCTGTCAATTAAGTGCAGAAATTAAGTAAAATTGTTAATTTATTTTCGATTTTTAAGCTTTTGTTCACTATGTTGTAATATAATAAAATAATGCAGTACTGTCACAACTATGTCGCGAACGCATATTAATTCTAAAACAATTACCTACTGTATACTGACATGTTTTTTACTGTATACAAGCGTGTCATTTGTTATTTACTCAGTAAAGCATTGATTATCCATATCTAAAATAGATTAAACAAATGAAGGTGATGTTAAATCAGTTCTCTCTTCGAGCAAGGAATTTTTTGTAATACAATATGCAGTTTAGAAGTTTAGTATAGTGAAATTAACAAGCCAGATGACTTTTATACTTAAGACAGCTTTAAAGTCTGGCGAACAGGCTAGCTGCCTGAGAGTTTTCATAGCTTTGATCATGCGTAATGTGAATACAAACCTTCAAATCTCCATGAAGGCGTCTTTCCTCTTAAGAGAGGTACTTTGGTTCTTCGCGCACTTTGGTGTAATTCAAGTTCAGCTTAATTTAGGGCTTATGTTATTAAATATTAATTTTATTATTTTGTTTGCAGAGAAATAAAAATTTGACTCATATTAAGAAAATAAAAATAATTTCTTTACCTAGTTTCATATTTTATTTTATGGAAATGAAAATATTTACTTTTTTCTAACTACAAATCTTCGTTGAAATAAAGTACTGTAAAAAAATATAAAATTCATTAATTTCTACTGCAGCTCATCCGTAGACGATCATTAGAAAAAATAAAGATTTATTCCAAATTCAATAGTGTAGATTTTTTTCAGTGTCTGGATGGGCTATGACTCTAATCCTGTGTTTTAAAGTTCTAATGCATTATTTAACTTATTATTTTTTAATGCAGTAGCTTATTGCTTAAATTTCAATGTATAATTCTTGCACTAATTACTATTTGGATAATTTACAGTATATAATGCATTTATTATTAATATTTACTTTTAATCAACTACTATACTTTTAGCATTTCTGAAGTATAAAAGTCATTTTGAAAACATATTGACAAATGAGATCAGGGTAATGCAAGAACATACTAATAACCAGCGAACTAAAAATAAAATAAAAAAAAATGATAAGTTTAAAATTTTAAAGGTCTTCCTCCGGTTAAATATTCGGCACTAAAATTTCAAGATTTGCCCTTGGGGATGATATTTAAACGTATTATCTATTTCTGTATATTAAATTTATCTACTTATTTAATATCTGTTACCCTTGGAATGTTTTAATTTATTTAAAATGTGTTTGAAGCTTAGTAATTTAATAAATTAATTAGTTTGAAGTTTAAAATTTTAAATAAATTTTAAATTTACTAAAAATTTGTTTGAAGTTTAGAATCTTGAAAACTATACAATCAGAAAAATCTTCTTCAGCCAACGCCCGATTATAGCAGGTCAGCCAATTAGCCGTGCCCATCCTTCCATTGTGTCTTCTTGGGTTTCTGCCTTCAAAACGGTGTAGGTGCGGAGATGATTAGCGTTCCCTTCTCCTGAGTTACATACGAGACATATGGGAGAGCTGATAATGCCGATTACATGAAGACGGCTCTGGAGGTAGTCGGGGCCTGTAGTCAGTTTGAAGATGGCCACAGACACGTCTCGGGGAATACTACTGAGTACTGAGGATGGATCTTTTTATCTTTTTATTATCGAGAATCAGAAAAAAGTTAAGAGCAGCAAAAAAAAAAAAAAAAAAAAAAAAAAAAAAAAAAAAAAAAAAGTCGACAAAACGAGACTGGGAACAAATCATTACAGAAAGTAAAGAATACTGAAGAGCTGTAAGATTTAGCTAAACAGATATATCGGTGCAAGCACTGAAAATTAGCCAACGGCAAAACGAGGGAAAAATATTAAGTAAAACAACAGTGAGAAAATGTAGTGAGATGCTGAAAGCTGTTAGATTAAGTAGTGAACAAAACGAATTCGAATTTAATTAAGTCATACTTGGAGTTTTTGCTGATTCACCAGGTAACTCTGTAGGTATTTTTTGAAGCAGGCAAGATGAAAAATTAGGTATTTTTTGAATCAGGCAAGATGAAAAATTAGCAACGCCTTCGCCGGAAATCGAACCGCGGACCTCTCAATTACGCGGTGAGCGTGCAGACCACTACACCACTAAGGCTCGCTAAGAAGGCGGGAGAAATACATTATACTGCAGTTTTTAGGGGACCTAATCGCCAAATCCTGAGTGAGGATAATCATCATCCAACACCATTTTAGTTCGGGCACCACTGTAGAGACAATAGGATTTTTTGGAAGCAAGAGTGATAAAAAATTAGCAACCGCCTTCGCCGGGAATCTAACCGCGGACCTCTCAGTTAGGCGCTGAGTGTACTGACTACTACACCCCAAAGGCTCGCTAAGAAGGCAGGAGAACTACCTTATATACTCCCTCTTTTAAAGGGCGACTGTGGTGTTTAGGGAACCCAATCTTGAAATCCTGGGTGTGATGAATCATCATCCACCACCTTTTTTAGTTCAGGAGCCACTTGTATACCACGAAGGCTCGCTAAGAAGGGGGTAGAAATACTTCATATAAATACCCTAAGTTTTTGCTATATTGTTCAAAAGAATGCCATCATGGAAAAAGTAGAATATAAAACATTCTTCCACAAAAAATATTGGAAAAATCTATCTAAATTTATTACTATTTTAATTAAATAGTGTCTTAAATAACATGTACGGTATACTTTTCCATTAAAATGCTGAAATTTTATGTTTTACAGTACACAGGATGTTTTCATGTTATCTAGGGTCCTCTATTATCAATGGATTAATGAAAAACGTTATTGAGAAATGCTATGTATTATGTTAAACCTAGGGATATAAGTAACTGCTTTCTCAATGAAGAGGATGGTTATACTTCTCTCGTTTTAATTAAAAAATATACGGAAATATACGGAAGCTATTATAAAAATACACATCGAATACCAAATGAGGCCGAACATTTCATCAAGTGGTGTAAAAATAAAGTTCTTGAACTAAATCAAAAGTTTGTACTCAAATGAGTGTATAAATGACTAGAAGACAAAGATTTTTACAGCTTTGTGGATTACAGTACAGCGTAATACTAATTTTTTTTTCTCAAAATGGCAGGACACATACTC